TTTATTAATTTAGGATGGACTGAAATATTTTTTGCATTATTTTATACATTGCCATACAACATTTTTCTTTACAGTGGTTTACAATCTTTATATTATGTAAAATACACATAGGTCATAATTAATATTTTGGTACATATTTAGTTACTAAATTGGATGTATCCTACATACATTAAATCAATACAATAATAACAAGTCCTTATTTAAAATTTTCATTTTTGTGTGTTAAAAATTCTTAATATATTAACAGTACGGAATGTTCCTTTAAAACCATAAAGTTGTGTTGCAATGATGATAATTGAACAAATAAAGGATAGTCAATCGAAAAAATAAACAATTTTACAATAAAATATGATCCCAAAATTTATCAAAAATATTTAACACTCTGCATTTTAATATAAAACTAATAAATTGTTCTTGTAAGTATCCTAATTTTTGACTAGATGCAATAATAATAATTATAAAACAATAAAATTATTCTTTGAACACCAAAACGTGATTTTAGTTCTGATGAAAAGCAATTATTCAACTTAAAGAGACAAAAGAACTAGAACAGTGTATCAAAGAACTCTCTTTACAATATGTATATGACAAAGGTATAATAAGTTAAATATAATTCAAACATATTAATCATTTACACGAATAAACTACATTAAGATAAGTATCAGATTATTATATCTATTTTTAAATTAAAAAAATATATCATTTGAATTACTGTGAAATGTACTTTCCTTTAAGTGATGATTCAGTACGTGTATCTTATAGAATGGAAATGCAATTTTGTGTATATTCAATATATGACATTAAAGTTGATACTAGTATGTATATATGTACCATAAATTTCTTAGTCGATAACTTCACTATCTTCACGTTTTTAATATATGCACTCGTTATGTCATTATCTGTACAATATAAGTACAAGTATGTTATCCTAATATACTTTTAGTTTGTCTTTTGCCTTTGTTGGTTCTGTATAGTTAACCTCGCTATTTCTTCACCGAGAGTATCAATATTATCCTACAAAGATAACGTTGATTAACGAAAAAAAAGATGTGAATGATAGTTTATTTTATAGATACCATATTATATAATTTTTAAATATGAATATAATTTTACGTTTACCTTTAGTGTGATATTTTTAAATAATGCATCTTCGAGAACAGCTTGGAGTTTCTGATTTATCTCTAATGATAATTCCAGTGTCATATTGTCATCCGAGACTCGTTGATTATATACCGAGGCCATTATTCCTCCGTGTTTTGCTAATTCAGCCTATAATTAAATGGCAATTAAAATCTAAGGAATCTTTACGATTGTATTTAAAATATAAGTCACCCCGAAATATTAATTAACATTTATATTATTAAAACTTACTGCATTTCTCCTGCTCTTGATATGCTTGTATATAAAAAATGAAATATAGTGAAATACTTTGAATGAAATATTTTACACAAAATTGTGAAATGTAAAAAGACGTTTTATGAAATTGTACGGTTCAATATAAACAATTTACCTTATATTTATCTCTTTCATTGCCACCCATGGCACCAATATTCTCATGTAAAATATAATTTTGTATGATTCTCTTCTTTTTCTGCAACTCTTCAACTAGGATTCGAGTATGTTCTTCGAAAAAATCTAGTTTCTCGGCTTTTCTAGCGTTACTCTCCTGTAACTTTATAATACGTTCTATTAGCGCTTGTTTACTAGGTTCTATAGGCTGAATACTTTGGTCACCATTGATACTGTTATCGGATAAGGCACCATTTAAAGCATCTCCTAAAAGAAAAAAAAAGAAAATGAAGAACTGCAAAGAAATACGTGAATGAAGTAACCGACATTACTGAGATTCTCATATGTAAGAACCTGTATTTAACGAAAGATTTGATCCAGTTCTAGATCCAACAACCAATGAATTATAAGGTGATGATGTTTCAAATGCTTCCAATTTCCTTCGACATTGTTGTAGCTCGCGCGTCATTTCCTTCATACTGATTTGCTGCTTCCTCTTTAACACCGCATTCTCTCCTTGACTATCCTCCAATTGCTGAACAAGACTTTGTACCTCTTGCGTCTGCTCAGCAAGACGCCTGGTTAAAACGTCACATTCCTCGCTTCTCATTTTTCGTTCTTGAGCAAGACTCTCTTCTAACGTCTTAATTTTATCAGTTAATTCGCTTATACGTTCGTGTAATGGTCCATGTTCTTGCTCCAATTGTTTTACTTTAGCTTCAATGCCCGTAAATTCTGACTGAAGTCGTACGTTTTTATCCGTCAATTTCTGCGTAAAGTCCAACATTTCGGCTTCTTTCTGACGACAAGCAGACATATCAGCCTGCAATTCTTCGTTGGCAGAACGTAAATGTTTGATCTCTGTTTCGGTCGATGCCAAGTAATGATCTTTGCTATGTTGAAAAGAAATGAAGTAATAATATGAAAAAAATAATGTATCAAATAAGACCATGATTCTTTTATAGTCACGATACTTACTGCTGTAATTGAACTTTTAACGTTTCCAACTCAGATACTTTACTGAGCAATTCTACGATTTCTTTCTGACGTTGATCTGCTATGATCTTCAAATTACTTAGATTGCTTTCATAATTCAATCGATTTTTTTCAGCATCTTGTATCCTTAAGCTAAGTGTGTTGTTTTCCTCAATTAAAACTTCTTGTCTGTGCTTCAATGTATCTACTTCCTTTTGCAACTGAAGTCTTAATATTTCTTTATCTTCTGTAACGTGCCTTTCTAAGATTAATCGTGCTTGTTGCTCCTTTAATTGTTGATCCAATGTAACAGCTTTGTTCTCTTCTGATTGTTGGAATTTTCGCATTGATTCCTGCGTTTCTTTACGTATCTGTTCGCATTCTTCCTTCATTTCATTGATTCTGGTCTACAAAAATGAATGAAATTAATGTCATAAATTTGTATGTAAAAATAAGATTACACCTCTTTAACGTTATTACCGTAGCTTTATCTAATTTTTGTTGAGTCTCCTTTTGCAAATCCATTTCCGTCTTAAGTTTGTTTTGAGTCCATTGTAATTTTAAATCTCTCATTTTTACGTCTTCCCTCAATTTATCAACTTCTTTGTGGAGATCCGTCACTTCGCGATGTTTTCCAGTCAAAATATTGCATATTCTAGCTCGCTCCCCTTGCATCTCTCGTAATCTGCTCTGAAGTCCTTCATGCTGTGTTGTAATTTCTTTTACTCTTCGTTCTGCGTTTTCCTTTGCCCTAACAACGGTACGATAATAAAGAGATAAACGGTAAATAATTATAAAACACATTAACCACGTTTGTAAAAATTGTAATATACCTTTGGGTATCAATTAGTTGTTTTTCGCTAACCGCATATTTCATCACCATGCTTTCCCTTTCTTTATTCGCGGCATTGTACTCATTTTTAAATGTTTCCTGTGCTACTAATGACGCATGTAATTGAAATGTAAGTCTGTTTATTGTCTTTTCCAAAGTTTCAATCTGTGTAGAAGAGATTTCTCCTTTTTCTATTTCTAAATTTCGATTTCTCTGTTCCAAATGTTCAACCTTCTCCTCCAACTTTAAATGTTTAGATTTCAAATCCGCATAGTCCTTTAATAAAGTCAGATATGCTGGATGTTGTAATAAACCACTTTTCGACTCTTCAATTTCGGTGCTTTCTTTTTCTTTTTGATCTATACTGTCGGTAATACTTTCCTGGAAATTATTGTCCTCAGAGGTCAATACTACAGGGTTCACAGTACAATTTCCATTTGTTTCTGCACATAGTGCATTGTCATTTATTTTATTAATATCATTGCTGACAGAATAAGATTCAAGTTGTTTTGTGTCATTCAATTTACAAGCAATAATATCATTACTCAAGGTACAATCATTTGTCAATACACATTTATTATTTTTCTCAGTATTTGTGCACATATTTTCATTTGGATTTGTTACTAAACCATTTTTGTTTTCATTACTTTTTGTACATTCATTTTCTTCATTTTGTACATTCATTGAATCCTTTGCTACATACAAAGTATTTTTTGTCTTTGTTACTGAAACTGACTCATTGTCATATACTGGACCTATCAAAGGGGATTCTGTGCTAGAACTGCGGGTATTATCTATGGATTTCATTACTGAATTATACTTCATTGTCAAATGTTGTGGTAGGAGTGCTTTCTCCATTATGTTTGTTGATTTTTCTGTAATAAAGTTTAAAAAGTTACGACTCTTGTTTAGAAACTGAGCATTTGATTGCATTATATTAATTGGATTTGTTGGCAGTGAAATTTTCACCAATCTGCTGTCATCAACTAAAGTTGGTCTAGAGATTATGTTACTCTGTATCTTAGAATTTCTTACAGTTTCAGAAGGTTTTTGTTCTCTGTTAAAGTTCCGTTCATATTTCATTAAATTTGATAAAGCCTCTGCTTGATCATTATTTACCATTAATTTTCCATTCATATTAGAATGCTTTACTGCATCTTCTATTCTCTTAATGTCATTTTTAATTTCAGAATCTTCATGTTTTTCTGCAATAACAGTTTCTTCTGAAGGTTTTGCTTGATGTGCCTCTGTGTATAAGTTAGTACTAAAAAGTATTTTTTCCTCATCATTGCATGTTGTATTTAATCTTGTATATTTATTTGGTGTCACAAATTCTTTATCATAATTAGAAATTTCATATGAAGATATAAATGATAATGAATCAGATAATGTTGATGATGGTAATCTAATATCATTATAGGAAGATGATTTCTGAAAACATTGTTCTTGTGGAAGGCCTATATCAGCAGCTGTTTGACATTTTAGAAATACCTCTGAGAAATTACTTAAAGAAGTAGAATTTTTCAGAGTTTTATTAATACTGTTTCCTTCTATCAATTGATGATATTCCTCCTTATCATTCTTTAATAATACTGAATTTGTTTCAATTTGAGCGATACTGTCTTGTTCAATTTCTTCCTGACTTAGCATTGTATCTTCATTTAGCTTTACATCTTGTTGAGTCAAAATTTCACTGACTAAAAAGATCAATTGAAAATGCAATATTAAAATTCTCGTCGTAAATCTAATGCTGTTTAAACAGCTGTAAACTGACAGATTCATATGTAGCAACTTATAAAGTAATTTAATACGTTTACGTTAATCAAAACTCGTTAACTCGTACCTTCTGTAAGGGAAACATCTGGTTTTACGCCGGAATCAGTTTGATCGAAGTTTTCTAAACAGATTTTTTCTTTAGAAGGCAATTCCGATTTTTCTTCGTCCATTTCAGAAACTGCAAATTCCATTTCTTTCGGAACAAGTTGACCCTATTTCATGGTATTATATTGGACGATGAGAATCATCGATGATGAAAACCTTTGTCGACTTGAAATAAGCTTGCAATTACAATATTAAGCGACATTCGCGAAAATATTTAAATTAAGGAAAATAACCTAAAATCCAAGAGATTTTATCTGTCATTATCCGTACCGTTTCTAACCATTGCTACGAACATGATTAACTACTACTAAATCTGAAAACATCGACCAAGGATTCAGCTGATAGAAATATAGTCTGCTGTACCACGATTAAGCGTGCATTCAAACTCGATAGCTTGTTGGATAAATACGTACAGCATGTCGATTCAAAGCATAAATAAATTATCACGATTATTTCAACCAATTTCTTCTTGGGTAGCAACCAGGAAGAAACTGGAAGTTCCCTCAAAAAGTTATGAAGTGCGTTCAAAGTTATTTCTCTTGTTTTTGTATTATTCTTTCAACAATTATTACTGATAATATTTCTACTGATTGTAGAATTTAATTAAATATGGAATAATAAAACATGTTAACAGTGGCATGTATGCATTTCTACCTTTGGGTTTACGTGTCTTAAATAAACTGACAACACTTGTCGACAATGAAATGGATAAAATTGGAGCACAAAAGTTATTGCTTCCAGCTTTAACACCTGTACATTTATGGAAGAAAACAGATAGATTCAAAGACAATGCAACAGAATTGTTTAAAGTGAAAGATAGATTTGATAAAGAATACATACTTAGTCCAGTGAGTTTGTAATAATTAAAAATATAATAAAGTACATTAACATGTTAAATAGCAAAGTAATTAATTTTTTAGTGAACTTATTACTTTATTATAGACATATGAAGAAACTATTTGTACTCTAGTATCATCCATAGGAGTATTATCACCAAAAATGTTACCCTTAAAATTGTATCAAATTTCCAATAAATGGAGAGATGAAATGAAGCCACGTCTCGGATTTTTAAGGAGTAGAGAATTTGTCATGAAAGACCTATATACATTTGATGGAAATTTAAATCATGCACAAGAGACATATGCATCAGTAGGTGAAGCTTATGAGAACATATTTAAAAATATAGGTGTATCATGTATAAAAGGTACTAAATGAAGCAATGCTATGCAACACTTAGCATTTATTAACATTATCTGTATTTGCAGCTGTTGGTGATCCAGGATTAATTGGAGGTTCTATAACTCATGAATATCATTATGTAAGCAATATTGGAGAAGATATTGTTTGTGTATGTTCATCTTGCCAATATGCTATTAACAAAACTATGACTAAAGAATTACATTGTCCTCAATGTAAAAAACCATTTCTTGAGCAATGCACTGCAGAGGTAATAAGAAATACATATTTATATATCAATTTTTTTTTTTTATGAATGCATATTTCTCATTCTAGGTAGGACATACATTTTTATTAAATACAAAATACACAGAACCTTTAAAAGTATTACATAAAGTAAACAATGTATCAACACCTTTAGTAATGGGTTGTTTTGGACTTGGTTTGAGTCGTATTTTTACAGTAATGATAGAAGTATTATCTACCAAAGAAGAATTGAGGTGGCCAAAAAATTTGGCACCATATACTGTATGCATTATACCACCAAAGGTAATATATTTCATATTTTTTATGTAATATATTTTATATCATAAAACATTATTATAATTTACAGAAAGGTAGCAAGGCAGAAAATGGATCTCAATATGTGAATGAAATAATAGAAATTTTAGATCGGCTAAATATTGATGCTATTTTAGATGATAGAATACATTTATCTATTGGAAATCGTTTTATGCATGCGCGAGTAACCGGATTCCCTTACGCTATAATAATTGGTCAATCCATTATGGAATCTCCACCTCAAGTTGAAATTCACAATATAAATGATTTAACAAATTGTAAAGTACCCTTAGGCAACATATCCACTTATTTTAATAGTGAAAGTATTAAAACTTAAATAAACGTAGATTTTTTAAAGAAGTGCATTTAATACCCATTTTTTAATTACAAAAGTTGTTTATTGTTATTTATCTTTTATTAAAGAAAATAAGAAATCTATTATTTGTAGTAATTTTATTACGTCAGATCGCACTTATAAAATTTAATGTTCCAATTTAACTCTAACTCTGTGATACGCATTACAAAGGAAACCTCGTAGATTCCAGATATTTTTGAAACTTTCTGGTTGAACATTATATGACGCATCTACAGCTTTGGCCCAAATTTCTGTTTCTTTACATCTTTTATTAACGGGCAAATCTATACTCCACAATGTCCAGCTCCAGTAACGACCCTCTTTAGCATTAGTATCTTCAGCATCTAAGTTAGCTGTATGCCAAGTTCTACCTTTGTCATTTGTTACATCAACTCGAATAATTTTTCGGCCTCCTCCTGACCACGCATATCCTATGAAAAATTTTTATCTTTATCAGAAAGATAAAAAAAATGGCATTTTAAATGTTTTAAAAGTTATATTTTACCTTTAACATTTATTTTTCCATTTATCGGCACGACCGTTTCCGATGGTATCGGTTTACAAATTGCAGAAACTACGGGCATTTCCTGTATGGCAGGTGCCTTAGAAAAATCTACATTGTCCCAGTCAGTACTGGGAGAAAAACCTTTGTAATCACCTTGTTGCCATTGAGATTGATTCTCTTCTTTTGAGACAATTATTCTAACTATAAATATTATAACAGATGTTATAAAATTATTTTATTATTTAATCATAATTATGACTATAATATTTGCTACTTAATTACCAAGCCATTTTACATTCCTAGCACCCACAACACCTGGAACAATTACTCTAATGGGAAAACCATGATCTCTTGGTATTGGTTGTCCATTCATTTCATAAGCTAAAATTACATCTGATCTAGGATCCACAGCTTTGTTAATGGGTATGCTTGCACCATATGGTGTACCAGAAGGATCTGAGTCATGTCCTTCAAACTTATTTAATGAAATTATTTCAATTTGAAGATAAGTACTTTTTCTTTTTATTATTTTTAAAACTTACAAAAGTTTTATGTTTTTGTTTATATGTTAATACCTGTACATGATTGTAGTTATCCTCGTTAATTCCTAAATCTTTCAGTACATCACATAACTTTGCTCCAACCCATGTAGCATTACCCACAGCACCTACATCCCAACTCAATCCTTTAAGCTGTTTTTCCTATAATAAATTGGAAAAGATATAATGCTGTTTATATTTTATTATAAATAGAAAAATAATTTAATTTACTTTTGCCATTTCTGATCTTCTGTTTCCACCACACATTACTGCACTTGTTATTGTATACTTGGGATATTTTTTTATATCTTCAAATGTGAGAGTTTTCTTTGTTGTTTCCTCTACAGCTAATTCTAAAGTATATGTTTTTAAATCTATGTCAGGAACAGGAAGATGGTTTCTTACATAAAATAATTCCCTAAAATAAAATAATATCTTAGATTTAAATTATTTAGCAAATAAAATTCCTGCAAATTATATTTAAATTTAAAATATATTTACACTGGTGTAATAAAGCTTTCAATTAATAAAGAAGGTGGTGGCTCAGCACAAAATGGTTTTTGTCCATTAATTTTTAAAGCTTTGTGCCTTCTTGGTTCTTTTGAATATGGATCATTCTTATTAATGTTATTGTTAATTGCATCTTCTTTAGAAATATTTCCAATCCTCATTGATTCAAGAAGTTCATATATTTCTGGTGTGTTATGATTAGCAAAAATTGTCCAAAATGGTTCAATTGAACTACCAGCTGCCATTATTATCTTAGAAGAACCACCTGGATGCATATCTATAAAATCTGTTATGTCGTATACTCCTTGTTTAAATGTTACCCACACACGATTTTCTTTGTTATCATGTTTGCCTACTTCTTCCAAATTATATGTCTTTAAGTCTGCTCTGAATTCTCCACACGGAACATGTTTATCCAAAGCATGGACCTTTTTATAAAATACATAATAATATGCACCTAATATAGATGTGGCAATAGTAATATATGCTGAATATATTTTATAAGGATTATTTCTAAATGTATTTTGTTTTGTATATCCTTCATTATGAGATGAATATTGCCTGGATGTTTCAGACCTATTTCTTAGTTGGTTTAAAATTCTCAAATGTAAAATCATAATGCAAAATTTTTATATTCATTAATCAAAAGAATATGATACAAAAACGAAAAGATCGTTTTCCTATGAATTATATGAAACAGATATGTAACATTGTGTAATTATAGATTACTATGTTTGCTTGGATTAAGAAACTGTATGATAATGATCCATATACGCAAATATCATTATCTACTACTAAGGTTTGTTTTCAAAACGTAACATTCCAAAGGAAGTATCGCGATAAGCATGTGGTAGGTGTGTATAAGTTTTTCATTCCATGATGGCTTCCTGTCATTCTGGTGTATGAATGTTTTCGTAATTCTTCGCACTATTATTTTTTTTCCAATACTGTAAACTTTTTAATGGAACCATAAAAAAATAGGTCATAACGAATAATAATTTTGAAAAAAAAAATACTTTGAATTGATTGTTAAATAAATGTACAAATTGCTTATGTGACATTAAGGAATTATCTTCTTTACTAGTAAGTAAATGCTCGATGCTTATCCTGTTAGAATTTGTTACAAATTTTTACAATTTAAAAAAATAAAAGTATCAGTATTTTTATTATAAAGGTGTCTTAAGTATTAAGGTATTCTTTGTTCATTTAAAATGAATGTAATTTCAGTTTAGAGGTTATATATAAAAGACAAGAATAATGCGAATTTTAAACAATAATAATGAATCATGATTTTTGAATACACTTACATAATAATGTCTTATATTTATATTATATGACTTAATTCAAATTTTAATGTTACACAAAATCTAAATTTATATTTAAATTAATGCATTTCCAGGTGAATGAAATG